TCCCTCTGCTCCACCAGAAAGCTATCCCTCTAGAACAACTCCCAGGTCCTTCTCGGCAGAGCCTAGGAACACCGACTCGAGCGGGTTGCAGGGGTGGGGTCTGGGCCCCTGGGAGAGTGTCCCAGGAGGTCCGCGGGGAAGCGCTCCAGAGGCTCCCAGGGCGCCACGTGGGAGGCCGGACAACAGGACACGACGGCCAGTCCTGCCCGTCTGGTTCCAAACCAGATGGGACAGTTCCATTCCGCACAGCCCTCAGCCGGCTCGCGGCGCCTGGCCGTGCCCTGGCATTGCCAGAGCCGGGTGCTGACGAAGCTGGAGCGATTCCGGCTGTTGGTGCTTGCTCTGCAGGCTGTCTGCCCACTATTTGTCATGGCTGCGATCTCTCTCGCTTGTGTGCTTTTGTATTGCTTGGGGCATATTCAAAAGCAATGTCCAGGCATAGACACTGGCAGCCATGGAGTGTGGCAGAGACTCGGCGAGTGTGGGGGGGCGGGGGCTTCGAAGATGCGTTGCTAAAAGCTGCTTCAGATTGCTCTAGGGGAGGGGGCTGGGAATCCTATCTCATAAACCGGGGACCAGATTCCACAACTCTTGGTTGATTTTCCCCAAGTCTCTAAGTTCAGCAGTGATCTTCAGGGCCTGCCTGGCAGCGCAAGGGATTGACTCAGCACAATCAAGCTACTGCCAGCCACTGCTGCTTGAGTGCGCCCCGGCCAGGGAGTGACCCCAGGGCGCAGCAGGCCCCTCCGGCCTCCCCACTGCTCCCCTCAGCAGTGTTTCAATCGATCTGCCTGCTCTGTCCCCCACTCTGTCTCTGGTGAATTGGCTCACCCCCTCCACTCTGGCCTGCACCTGTTCTTGTGTGCATTAATATATCTTAAAACAAACAAACAAACAACAACAACAAAAAAGCCACACACACAAAAGAACCTTAAAAAAAAAAAGAGAGAGAGAGAGAGAGACCTTTGGAGGAAAACTTGAGAGAATCACACAGGCCAAGTCATGCAAAATTGATCAGTTCACACATGGTTGTCCTTGAAAACAGTAAACCCAAGCACCCTCGGGTAAGAGAGCACTGTCTTTGTGTGCCTCTCCCCTCTCCTTCCTTGTCCAGCAAAATCTCCTCAGTTGTCTTTGACATCAAATGTATCTGACTCAAGTTCAGATAGTCAATCTGCTGATGACTTTGAATCACCCTTTACCTACTGTTAAGAGAGTTGATAAATGTCTTCATCTTTAAAAGGTGATCAAGACCACGATGACCTAGAAACATAGGCTCTCAATCCTGCCAAAAAATCTGCATCTGTGTGTATGAAAATGCTCTAAAAAGCAACACGGAATTTGCACGTCAGCGGGGGTTACTTTCAGATCAGGTGAAGGCTTACTTTCTTCTTTATGCTTTTTCCAAATTCTCTGCAGGAAACAAAGCACTCCCTCATAGGCAGGAAAAACAATTATTTGAATAAAAGCCTCTATCCCTGTACCAGCAGCCACAATTCTTATAAGTTCCCATCTTTAATAAGAAACTTAAAACATGGGAGACCGCAAAGAATTTAGATTTTGAGCAGGAAGAGTGAGAAGGGCGAGGACACCACAGGTCCGTGTTACTCTCTCAGTCAGGTGATGCCCGGGAGTGATTTCGTGTCTGCGTCTTCTCCTGTTTCATGAAGAAGCTTGTTGCAGGGAATCAGACTTACAGAAAAATGATGCTCAATGCAATGTCGGGACACTGCAAACTGTCGCCCATCTTGAGGAGCCGGCTGGATGGTTCTGGGAGGAAAACAAGGATCCAGCTGTGGGGCGGGGGTTCGCCCCCCCTGAGCGTGGCTCTGTGTCCGGCTGGCCGTGGAGAGGACACAGGCCCAGGCTGAGGCGGAGCCCGGAGGCCTCTCGCAGCTCGGCCACCAACCAGAGACGCCGGGCCGTTCCCGGGGCAGCCAGCACCGCCAGGGCTGGAGAGGGCCCTCCCGGGGGCGCCTCGGGTTAGGACGCAGCACCGCAAGCTGGCTGCAGCCACTTCAATGTGAGTTCGATCCCAGGGCCTGGAAGTGACCCACATGGCACGGCAGACCTCTCCTGACCCGCCCCCGGCTCCCCTCAGCAGCGTACATTGTCAGTCTGCCCATTCTGCTCCCCACTCTGTCTCTGGTGAAGCCTCTCATCGCCCCTGCACCTCTGGCCTGCACCCCAGTTCTGTATGAATAAATAAATAATAAATATTTACAAAAAAAGGAACTCAATACTGGGAGAAAGCCTGAGACTGGAGACCCCAGGCCACCTGCGGTCAGGCCACGCTTTCCTGGGAAGAGGCACTTGAGCTCCTGCACCCCCGTTTCCTCATCCGTGGGTTTCAGGTGCCTCCTTCAGGAGGGTGTCGCAAGGACTGAGTAATGCGGGTGTCCCAATCGCGATGATGCAGCTTGCAGGTGCTGGGAGTTGCAAATTGCCAATACCAAACCGCAATAGCATCGCAATGTGATCATGCTTGACCTCAAAAGCCACCTTTCTGTCTGGCATCTGGGGCGGCTCACCCCAGCTGGTGAGGCTGCACCTGCCTGACTCTTTGAAGATGGGAAAGCCCTGGCAGTGAGAGCTGGAGGGAGGGGCCGGCGGCCTCGTGTAGTAAGGGGGTGTAGTAAGGGGAGCTCATTCTCAAGGAAGCAGCTAGCCCTTCTTTAAACCCCACCCCCAAGAACAACTCCGAGATATTTATCTTTCCCGGAAACCACCGAAAAGGCAGCCTCGGAGGATGGCTGTTTCCTCCTGCGCTCCAGAGAAAACCAGTTCTCAGAGTCTGCTTTTGTTTGGCTTTCTACTCACGGGTTAATGGCAGGGGGCTTCCCGGGCTTCCCACCGCGGGTCCTGCTCACCCCCAGGTTGTGAGTCCCCGGGGCAGGCGAGGGGGACAGGCTGGCGGTCAGGAGTCTCCCTGGCAATCAGGGCAGGTCACGCCCACATGGGCAGGAAGATGAGTCCCTCTGCCCAGGTGCGTTCCAAAACACAAGTGAACCTGTCGCGTCGGCTTCCACAGGTCAGGCTCGTCTCCCGGCCATTGCTCGGGACCGTGCGGGGGTCACTGCGGGTGGGGCGGGAGAGGCGGGGTGGTGGCTGCGGGGCACCGGTGTCCGTGCCGGCTCCGCTTTCCTCTGGCCGCCCCCAGCCATCCGCTCTGCCCCCCGGGGAGCCGGGCCGCGCTGGACCCGCCGAGCAGGGCTGGGAGATCGGGAGACCCGGG